ACTATTTTCACGATTATTATTAATATTACTGCTTTCTGCAGATAGCTCTTATGTGACTCCCCAGCTGATTTTCTGTTACCATATATCAGTCTAGGGAAGCTGGGAGGAAATCTTCACTTAAATCTTTGTCCACTTCAGATAAGTGGCCCTAGCATAGTTTCTTGCCCATCAAAGGCCTTTCAATTAGTAGCTTCTACTATGCAACACCCCATTGAGATAAGAGGTTTTTTTTTGTCCCTTCCTTTTGACCTTGGTGGTATTTTACAGAGATTAACACTTGAGCACCCAAGATGCTTATGTCTTTTAGTGCATACAAATGTTTAATTCTGAATTGACAGGCAAGATATTAAATTGGTAAAGTATGCCAGATTAGCTTTAAGCTTTATTACAGTTAAGGGAAGAATTACCTCTCTGTCATTTTAGGACTGCTCTTATACTTGCTGTATGTTGTGGATCAGCAAGTATGGTTAGCCTTCTACTTGATCAAGATATTGATGTATTTTGTCAAGATAAATCTGGAAAATCTGCCATGGATTATGCTGTTTCTAGTCAACATCATATGTAAGTGTTTACATGAAAAGGCTAGTTAACACTAAGGCTTAAAATAATTACAACGATTGCATCTTATGTATCAGGTGAGATGTCGTAGTTTGGTTTGGGTAGTTTTCGAGTGGCAATGAGTTAGTCCCCTGCATCAGCTAGAAATCAAGCAAAAGGTAGACTGGTTAGAAGAACCAGTGCATGCAGGATTCTTTATCTCAGGACTTGTAAGACCTTCATGTTTAGAGATCCCAACATTGTTCATTTCATCCAAGCATAACACCTATGCATGAGATAAAAAATAGTGTCACATCTTTTTTTTTTGATTAGTTATTTGGGTCTTGAAGTGTCCAGTTTAGCAGAGAGTCATTTACTGTCTTCTGAGGACTATCTCCTACTTACTCCTTGAATTTTTCCAGAACCAAAGGGGTTTACTAAATCCAGGTATGAGAATCCCTTTTATCAAGTCAGAAGCAGGAGAAACAAGGGGAATTCCAATCATTCTGTTGTTTCTGTTGATTCTGTTGCTGCATTATTGCACCTGAAACTGGTCCTGCTGCCTGGTAATGGTTGATCTTTGACACCAAGATGCCCTTACTGATTCAGATCCCTCAGGTCTTCATGGTGATTCATACAGAGATGTTGAAGTTACAGCGTTTTTTTAGTTCACATACCTATGCTTATATGCTCAGCCATTATTCCCAAAGCACCAGCCCCACCGTGCTCTGGCAATGCGATTTTATCCACACACAAAATGAGCTAATTGACCCTCACCCCCACGTTCAGTACTCGATGTGGCACCCAAGTTCAGCCTAGACTTAGCTGAGGCCTTCATGGTAAGAGATCATTTGAGGCCCTTGTTGGTCTTTTCTGTAGCAGATATTCATTGGGCTTGTTCTAAATGGCCAGAGAGGCTGAAATAATGTGGTAGAAAGAGATCAGTGTTTCTTTCTTCTTTGCTACCAGTTCTGTACCTTCATGCACCTTTATATCCTGTATAATACCTGAAGTAGTAGAGAGTCCCATATTAACCTTCGCCGGAGCAGTGGACTCCCAGTTGTGGTTGGTCCCTTGACTGATCTGTTTTACATAATAATGAAAACTGCCCAAGCTACTTGCATCTCCACCTCAAGATTTAAAAATATTTTCAAATTCTACCTCACAGGAAGCCAGTGAAGAGAATTCTTAGAATCTCAAATAGGTTAGTTGGAATTAACAGAGACATACCTTGTCCATGTCTCATCACTGAATGTAGGGAATCCATGAGCCCCACACATTGGGTGCCAGAAGCTAGGGATCTATAAGCCCCACACGTTGGGTGCCAGAATGTAGTGCTCCATGAGCCCACATTGGGCACCAGAATGTAGGGAGCCACCCCTACATCAGCCATGGGTACCCTGAGTTTGATGGCAACAAAGGAATGAGAAAAAGACACATTAAGAGAGACAATGGGACCAGAGGGCCATCACTTATTACTTCGGAGGTGACAGTGAAGGCCCCAAGCTCTGACCATTCACTCTCTTTATTGGTTACAATCACTTTGATCTACAGGGTAGGGGTGGAGTAATGGTGGGGAGAGGGTGATGGTGGAGTGAACCAGTGAGCCAAAACTGAATCAGTGAACTGGAACTTGTGTGTCATTCTAAGGATTGATAACAGTGGCAGTTTGGGAGTTTCACAAAACAAGAACATGTGGTTATCTTTAGCTTGTTATCTATGTACAGCTGATGGAACACAGACCTTACAAGGAGCCTACAAGTCTGGCTACGTCATAGTGCTATGAAGGGATTTTATAGCCTTGAGCACAATGTTTATGGTTCCAGTGCGAGGTCACCCTGCACTGGAACATGAGGCATGAAGAGGCCTTCCTCCTCAGAGGCCTCCTGCGGCCTTCTGCAGTGTATTATTCCCTGTTCATATGTTACTCATAACCAATTTATGTAGGCACTCTGTAAGTCCTTTCTCCTTTGCTGCTTTTCCCAACAGCTAATCATGTGTAAAAGTAGGACTTTGTGCCTGCTTTGGCGGCACACATTCTCAAATTGAAACAACACAGAGAAAATTAGCATGGCCCCTGCATAAGGAGGCCACATAGAGTTTTGAAGCATTCCATATTTTGCACAGCCACTGGAAGGTCATTTGACTGTTTGCTGACTGGCTGTAAGGAAACAGAATGAATCAAAGCAAAATGGGTGCCACCAAAATATTGAAATTGTTATTTGCACTGCAAAAATAGTCATGCAGGGTGGTCTATGATATAACATCAGTACCGAATAATGTGTGGGGTGTTGTGTGCAAAATATGTTGTTAGTATGTATGTCGAAAGTTAGAGAATGTCAACTTGCAACTTCTTCGTGGAACCTAAAAAAAAATGTGAGTGTGGTTTTTTTGTCTCATGTCAGCTGGAGATGAACATGGGTATAAAGCATCATCCTGACAAACATCTGCTGGTTCAGAGTTTGAGTCTATAGAGAAGGATCATTGCTCCAAGCCAGGTCATAATATCCATTGGTTTTTCTGCCTTTAGTGTGATTGATAAATTCTGTAATAGTGGACAATCATGTCAACTACTTTAATGAGATATTTATCAATAAATTTAGCTACAAACTATGAAATAGTTGAGATGCCCTGAACTGTGAGACACAAAGACTAGGACAACTAATAAGCAAAATTAGGACTTAATAACATTTCTTGAAAACAGCAACATTTTCATGTTAGAACCTATGAACAAAATACAGATTGGATTTTCTTTGCAATTCCAACATAATTTCAGTCATGAAGTTTAGGAACAGATTATGCCATTGCATTACTATTTCTCTGAGCATTTAAAAAATGTTATCTTGTTAAATCTTTATAACAACCTAGTGAAATAAGGCAGCAAAGTCCTTACTTTGTAGAAGAAGACATTGAGCCCAAGAGGAGCAACTTGTCCGAGAACAAATAGCTGTTCATTATGGAGCTAGGACTTATGCAGAGTTGGGACACTTTCTACTATGTCAGACTAATGCGAGTTAACTTACTGGGTCATAGTGCTCTCGATTTATGAGTATTTCACCTTACTCTTTTTCTTTATGATAAGTTTGTAGAATGTACACATAGGTGGATGGAATAATACTGTTATGTTCTGATATTCTGATATTGTTTGAAATATTCTAAGCATTTTACATTTGGTAAGTATTTATCTCAGTATTAAAATAGTCTTATTTATTACATTTTTATACACAGAATTTGCCAATTACTTTCTGACTACAAAGAAAAACAGATGTCAAAAAAGTTTCCTGAAAACAGCAATGCAGGTAAGACTTCTGATAGTGAATTACTTTAGGCCAGTTGTCACCAGCCTTTTTGGCACCAGGGACCAGTTTTGTGGAAGACAATTTTTCCATGGACTGGGGAAAGGTTAGGGGTGGTTTCAGGATAATTCAATCACATTACATTTATTGTGCTACTTTACATTATTGAAATAATTATACAACTTACCATAATGTAGAATCAGTGGGAGCTCTGAGCTTCTTTTCCTGCAAATAGATGGTCCCATCTTGGGACAAAGGGAGACAGTGACAGATCATACGACATTAGATTCTCATAAGCAGCACACAATCTAGATCCCTCATGTGAGCAGTTCACAACAGGGTTCATGCTTCAGTGAGTATCTAATGCTGTCACTGATCTGACAGGAGGCAGAGCTCAGGCAGTAAGATGAGCCAGGGTGTGTGGCTGTAAATACAGATGACGCTTCCTTGGTTTGCCTCCTGCTCACTTCCTCCTGTGTAGTGAGGTTCCTAACAGGCCATGGACTGGTAGCAATCTGTGAAGCACTGGTCATGAAACATATGCTTGTACCAGCAAGGTCTCACTATTACTGACTTCACTCCTCCTAATTTGAAATGAAAAGAGATATATTTACTTTGTTGGAACAAGATGTGTTCTTCTATCTGTGGGTTAATTGTCATGATAACAGTAATTTTGTTAGAACAAGATGCTCTGCTACCATTCGTCAAAAGATTGTCATAATAAATATACAAATTGCCCAGCTCTAGGCTCAGCAGATGATAATGAAAGTACAAAATGTTTCACAATAACAAAAATGCTAGCATGCTACCTGGATGTGGACACCTAATACACTGTACGATCGAGACTGTATGAGGACACCTTTACTTTAGCCATCTATTTATCAAAGAGCTTTTGATAACAAGGAGACAGATGAAATTAATGTAGTTTTGATCTTTAAGGTGCTCATAACAGAATTGTGTCTATTTCATTTCTGTGCTTTTTCAATAGAATTGACAAAGAAACAATTTTATTGGTGTTTTAACTTGTCCACCTAACAAATAACTATGAAATGTTTTTCAGATACATTTTTACTAATGCTACAGAACACAAGTAAAAATACAAAGAGGATCTCGTTATTATCATTGTCATTTTTCATTATTTTGCTACTTTATTCAGTGCTTGCTGTGTGCTAGATGCCCACTGGAAGCCTATAATTATGATTATTTATTATATTGATTATGTGCCAGACATAACTGATGAGGAATGAAAGCTTTTTCAAAAAAGGTAGGTAGGATTTAAGGTAAGTATAAAGACTGAGTAGAATGTTTCAAGGTAAAGAAGCAGAAGAATGATGTTTAGCAGAAGGAAGATGTAACGAGATTGTGTGCTTGCCGGAAGGAACATCTAACGCGATTGCCTCTGGGAAGAAGAGCAGCAAGTACAGAAGACAAGATGCTTGAGTAAGGTTTGCAGGGTTTATGAGCAGTTCACTTTTGCTAGTACCAAAAGTGTGAGACACGAGAGGTTGGGAATGAGGTGAACACTTACTTAGCTAAGGCAAGTTTATAATAGACTTTTTAATACTATAGAAATGAGTAAGTCTTCAGCCTTGGTCAACATGGTGAAACCCCATCCCTACTAAAAATACAAAAATTAGCTGGGTGTAGTAGCCAGCATGTATAATCCGAGCTAACTGGAGACTGAGGCATGAGAATCACTTGAACCTGGGAGGTAGAGGTTGCAGTGAGCTGTTGTGCCACTGCACTCCAGCCTGGGCAAAAGAGTAAGACTTTGTCTCAATAAATGAATGAATGAATGAATGAATGAATGAATGAATGAATGAATGAAATGAGTAGCTTTTATCTGGTGGGCCATGGGAATTTTACCAGTAGAATGATTTGGACCGCAAATACTAGATGAGCAGTGGCTCTAACAGTAGGAAACAGAGTTGTTTTTGTTGTTCAGTGTTATCCTAGGACCCCACTTGTCCCTCTTTCAGCTGTGTTGTTGGCAGTGTTTTATTATGTCTCCTTTCATAGTTGACTAATCCACAACAGCTCTAAACATCTTGCTCTCACAACGTAACATCGCAAGGGCTGCTTTTCTTCACAGTGTCTTTTAAATGGGGAGAAAACTTAGAAGCATGCAAGGGGCTTCCTGTAACATTTCATTGGATGGGTCACACCACATGCACATCCCAAAACCAGGCACTGGGAAAGCAGATAAGTGATTAGCTTAGAATACTCATTTCTCTTTCTGAAGCTGAGGAGAGGAATTGGGATAATAAACATCCCAATAGACTTGTGTTTCTTCTGCAATAAAGAATAAGGAGAGGCTATTGGTAGGGAGCCAGCAGTGTTTCCTGCAGAGCCTCACTGGAGAAATTTGAGTAGGGGAGTCACAAGATTAAATTTGAATATTAAGGCATTCTGGTTATGGTGTAAAAATGGTTAGCAAGCTTTTCCTGCAAAGGATGAAGTGGGAAATATTTTAGACTATGTGGTCTCTGTTGTATCTACTTAACCCTGCTTTTGTAGTGTGAAAACCACCACGGATAACATGTAAGCAAATAGGCATGACTGAGATCCAAGAAAACTTTATTCACAAAGCCATAATGCAGACTGGATTTGGCCTGTGGCCTGTGGTTTTCTGACCCCTCATAAAGGACTGATAGAAGGTAACCATGTAAGGAAACCAGGAGACAAAGGAAGCTTTTGCAGTAGTAGTCAGCTATAGTTTCCTTGTCACACATCCTTCAACTAGTGTCAATGTATTATGAGGTTTTCACCCATGCATGGTGAAAAAAGAAACTTAGGAATCTCAGTTACTTATTTTAAAATGTTGGCTTTTCTTGTGGTGTTACATCTTTTTCCTTTGTTTTGCTTAATTTTTTTCATGTAAGAAATAACATTAATAATTGGCCATTTTTATTTAAATAAAAGCCTTTTTCTAAATGTTTGTGTTCCAAGTGACAGTGGGAATATAAAGCAGAGACAGAAGAGAGGTATAGTCAATGTGATTTAGTGATAATTGAAGAAGAAATGTTTGGCGGATAGAGAGAAATCTCAGATAATGCACTAGTTTCCAGATTGTACACTAGCATTTAACCTGGACATGAGGAAGGAGTAGGAAATTTTCTGGTGAATACAGAAGAGTAAAGAGCAGCAGGTTAGTAGGAGTGACTAATTTTTTTCTATGCATGTTTAATGGAATATTCATACAGGATATTTTGAGTAGGTAATTGGATAATCAGCATTTATAACTTGCATCCTACTAGGTTGACTCTCAAATAATAAGACTTGGCAAAGATCCAAGAATCTGAAAATTGATGGTAAATGTCCATGTGTATCATCATCAATGAGCGAAAGTCAGCATCCACAGAATTGGGACAGATGAACTTAATAGATTAAGATGAATGTCAGAATTGTGTTTCTCTTAGGGACTGATACTCTCTATGGCCTATGTGACTCACAGCTGCCAGAAAAGAAAGAGAGCAAGGAACCTATTAAAGAAGCACAGCAAATTCAGTCCTAGAGTGCCCTGCTTGGCTTCATGTCATAGTTCTGACTTGTAACAAATTATTTTCTGCAAAATGTGCTTTGTGTTTTTCCCTTCTTGCAGCCTGTGAACAAACAGAATCCCTTTAGTGGGGCATTTTTGTGTTCTTTCTTAAACAAAGCAACATGTAAATAACAAAAAGAAAAAAGTAAGAGTAAGAGTGTTTTTTGTATAGGCTAGCATTTAATGTAAACTTGAGAGTGAGTACCAGGATTATACTTAGAATTTAGGGACTGGATGGGAAAGCTAGATAGAAATCTATATTTAATATAAACATTTCAGTATATTGGGTAAAACTTTTATTAAAATACATCAAAGGATCTTTGATCCACTAAACCAGAAGCTGGCCAGCTTTTTCTGCAAGGACCCAGTTAGTAAATATTTTAGACTTTGTGTGCTATATATATTTATTTTTTTGAGACAGGGTCTCACTCTGTCTCCCAGGCTGCAGTGCAGTTGCATGATCATGGCTCACTGAAGTCTTGACTTTCTGGGCTCTAGTGGTCCTCCCACCTCAGCCTCTCTACTAGCTGGGACCACAGGTGTGCTACATCACACCCAGCTAATGGACTCTATGGACTATAAAGTGAATAAGCGTGGCTGTGCTCCAAGATACTTTACTTACAAAAACAGGCAGTGGTCTGGATTTGGCCCACAAGTGCTAATTTGCTGATCCTTGTGTTAAAATGAAGATGCTCCTAATGCAGTGAATCTTATTTGTAAAAGTGCTCTGCATGTGTGACATGTTCTTCCTTTGAAATAAGGATATATTTAAATAGTCACCTCACCACATTTTTCAACAGTAACTTCATATAATTTTAAACATTTCATTTATAAAATACGATTCTTTTCTGCTTTTCTTCTATTTTATTCCTGTTAATAGCATTCAGTATTTTACTGTGATTATTACTTTGTATGTTTGATGAGTATCAACTATCCTAGAATTGGCTGATTTTTATCAAGCAAGAAATACCCTCTTTGAAACTTTTAGTATTCCTTGGTCTTTATGTGTAAGCATGAATATGATAACCAGCTTATCTAATTTAGAAATGTTTAAGGGGTCTTTTAGTTCTATAATTTTAAGAATTTTATACCTCAATCTAGCATTTTTAATGCTATAAGTGTATAATTTTTATAACCTTTATATAATTGCTATATAAAATTTGAAAACTACTGTTTCTTTTCTATCACATTTCCATGACTGACTCCCAATTATGATCTCCTTTAAAGAACTATCTATACTCATGAACTCAGGTTTTCTTTCCATTCAGTCTTGATGTCACGCCAGTAAGTCTTCAATTTCAGCACTCCTCCAAGGTTATTTTTCTCAAGGTTATCACTTATTTTTTTCTGTAATAAATCTAGGGATTTTTTCTTACACCTCATTTTATTTAATCTGTCAGCAATATTAAACCAAAGGAAGGACATCTCCTCCCTAATAGCATCTTCAGTTGGTTTTCAGGACCTCACTCCCTCAGGCCTCCCACGTTTCTACTCCTTTCATCATGGTCTGTTTACTTGCTTCTCATCTTTCTCCTTTTGCACATTGTTGTTTCCTAGGGCTCAGTCCTCAATATTTCCTCGTTACTATTTTTTCTGTTTTTGAAATGGAGCCTTGCTCTGTCACCTAAGCTGGAGCTCAGTGGTGCAATGTTGGCTCATTAAAACCTCCGCCTCCTGGGTTCAAGCGATTCTTCTGCCCCAGCCTTCTAAGTAGCTGGGATTACAGGTACACGCCACCATGCCAAGCTAATTTTTGTATTTTTAGTAGAGACAGGGTTTCCCCATGTTGGTCAGGCTGGTATCAAACTCCTGACCTCAGGTGATCTGCCTGCCTTGGCCTCACAAAGTGTTGGGATTTCAGGCATTAGCCACTGCTCCTGGCCCCTCATGACTATTTCTTTTTTTAAATTTTTTGTTCTATTTTAGGTGCATACTATATCTGGCATTTCTCCCCATGATATCCCTTCCCATCCTCTCCTCCCTCCCCCCACACTGTCTCTCCCCTACCCCCCCAGCTGCTCCAGTGTGTGATGTTCCTCTCCCTGACCCCATGTGTTCCTGTTGTTCAACACCCACCTATGAGTGAGAATGTACGGTGTTTGGCTTTCTGTTCTTGTGTCAGTTTGCTGAGATGATGGTTTTCCGATTCATTCAAGTCCCTACAAAAGACACGAACTAATTGTTTTTTATGGGTGTGTAGTATTCCATGGTGTAAATGTACCACATTTTCTTTGTCCATTCTATCATTGATGGGCATTTGGGTTGGTTTCAGGTCTTTGCTATTGTTCACAGGCTGCAGTGAACATATGTGTGCATGTGTCTTTATAGTAGAACAATTTATAATTCCTTGGGTATATACCCAATAGTGGGATTGCTGGTTCAAATGGAGTTTCTATTTCTAGATCCTTGAGAAATCTCCACACTGTCTTCCACAATGGTTGAACTAATTTACACTCCCACCAACTGTGTAAGGGTATTCCTATTTCTCCACATCCTCTCCAGTATCTGTTGTCTCTAGATTTTTTTAAATGATCACCATTCTAACTGGTGTGAGATGATATCTCAGTGTGGTTTTGATTTGCATTTCTCTAATGACGAGTGACAATGAGCATTTTTTAATATGTTTGTTGGCCTCCTATATGTCTTCTATTGAAAAATGTCTGTTCATGTCCTTCACCCACTTTTGAATGGGGTTGTTTGTTTTTTCTTGTATATCTGTTTGTTATTTGTAGATTCCGGATATTAGACCTTTGTCAGATAGGTAGATTGCAAACATTTTTCCCCTTCTGTTGGTTGCCAATTCACTCTAATGATGGTTTCTTTTGCTGTACAGAAGCTCTGGGGTTCAATTAGATCCCATTTGTCTATCCTGGCTTTTATTGCCATTGCTTTTGGTGTTTTAGTCATAAAGTCCTTGCCTATGCCTATGTCCTGCATGCTTTTGCCTAGGTTTTCTTCTAGTGTTTTTATAGTGTTAGGTTTTATGTTTAAATCTTTGATCCATCTGGAGTTAATTTTAGTGTAAGGTGACAGGTAGGGGTCCAGTTTCTGCTTTCTGTACATTGCTAGCCAGTTTCCCCAACACCGTTTATTAAACATGGAGTCCTTTCCCCATTGCTTGTTTTTGCCGGGTTTGTCAAAGATCAGATGGTTGCAGATGTGTGGTGTTTCTTATCGGGTCTCTGTTTTGTTCCTCTTGTATATGTCTCTGTTTTGGGACCAGTGCCATGCTGTTCTGGTTACTGTAGCCTTGTAGTATAGTTTGATGTTTGGCAGTGTGATACCTCCAGCTTTGTTCTTTTTGCTTAGGATTGTCCTGGCTATGCAGGGTCTCTTGTGATTCCATATGAAGTTTAAAGTGGCTGTTTCCAGTTCTGTGAAGAAGGTCATTGGTAGCTTGATGGAGATAGCATTGAATCTATAGATTACTTTGGGCAGTATGGCCATTTTCACGACATTGATTCTTCCTGACTGTGAGCATGGAACATTTCTCCATCTGTTTGTGTCCTCTCTCATTTCATTGAGCAGGGGTTTGCAGTTCTCCTTGAAGAGGTCCTTTACATCCTTTGTTAGTTGTATTCCTAGGTATTCTATTCTCTTCGTAGTAATTGTGAAAGGGAGTTTGCTTTTGATTTGGCTCTCTGCGTGCCTGTTATTCATATATAGGAATGCTTGTGATTTCTGCACATTATTTTGTATCTGAGACTTTGCTAAAGTTGCTTATTGGTTTGAGAAGATTTTGCTCTCAGATGATGGGGACTTTTAGATATACAATCATGTCATCTGCAAATAGACACAGTTTGACTTCTTCCTTTCCTAATTGAATACGCTTTATTTCTTTTTCTTGCCTGATTGCTCTGGCTAGAGCTTCCAATACTATGTTGAATAGGAGTGGTGAGAGAGGGCATCCTTGTCTAGTACCTGATTTCAAAAGGAATTCTTCCAGCTTTTGCCCGTTCGGTATGATATTGGCTGTAGGCTTGTCATATTATAGCTTTTATCATTTAATCATACATTCCATCAATACCTAGTTTATTGAGAGGTTTTTTTTTTTTTGGCATGAAAGGCTGTTGAATTTTGTCAAAGGCCTTCTCTGCATCTATTCAGACAATCTTGTGGTTTTTGTCTTTGGTTCTGTTTATGTGGTGGTTTACATTTATAGATGTGTGTGTTGAACCAGCCTTGCAGCCCCAGAATGAAGCCTACCTGATCGGGATGGATAAGCTTTTTGATGTGCTGTTGCAATTGGTTTGACAGTATTTTATTGAAGATTTTT